ATCTCATTATTCTACAAAACGTTTTCTTTATTCCATTCGCAGTCTGATTTTCTGGAAATAAAACAACATACAAAAAATTTGCTTAAATATTTATCTTGATTCTCTCGAAAAAAAAAAAAAAAAGAACATGTCCTAACAAGCGCATATATTTTCCTGTTCAACATTTGCCGTAGATCAAGTAGCATACAAGTGTGATCGCAAACATCTCCAAAGTCATCGTCCATGACAGTTAGCACTTCTTTTGTTGTCATGATCTGCTTGTAGTATGTAGCTGGTTGTCAATTAGTTCAATGTCCACGATCTTAGAAACACATCTGAAGACCTTTATTGCTTTTAATTGACTCTTCGATCTGAACTATTTCAGGTGCAAAATTAATACTCATCTAAATATCACTGGACCTATTGAATCTTCCCTTTTACTGTGTCCGCGTATGGGAATTTCAAGGTTTCAACAAAAGAAAACATTGTCTTTGTTTTTTCTTTATATATATATATATAAAAAATGGTTCAGAGCTTTTGTGTATTTACGTTAAGTTCACTGGCTGTAAAGTCTGCACCTCTTACTAGGTTTTTCTTTAATATTTACGTTTTCCCAAATGTGATACTAAATATAAATTTTCATCGTGCTTTTTTGACTTCTCATATCTTTTCGTTTTTCTTTCACTGAAACAGTCTTTTGTCCACTTAACACCACCCCCAAACAGCAAACACGGAAAGCAACACAAAGCATTTCTAAACTTAGCGTCTGCGCATTCGGCTTCGCCAACGTTCTTGGTACTGACGGGAAGACGTGTTTGATCTTAGCTGTACGCGATTTGGTAGCAGTCTTTTCATTGACTTCTAGCTATTGATTTCTAACTACTGACTTCTAGCTATTGATTTCTAACTACTGACTTCTAGCTATTGATTTCTAACTACTGACTTCTAGCTATTGATTTCTAACTACTGACTTCTAGCTATTGATTTCTAACTACTGACTTCTAGCTATTGATTTCTAACTACTGACTTTTAGCTATTGATTTCTAGCTACTGACTTTTAGCTATTGATTTCTAGCTACTGACTTTTAGCTATAGCCAATGATTTGTGGCCATTGATTTCTAGCCGCAGACTTCAGGCCATTGATTTCTAGCTATAGACTTCTAGCCGTTGATTTCTAGCCATAGACTTCTAGCCGTTGATTTCTAGCTATAGACTTCTAGCCGTTGATTTCTAGCTATAGATTTCTAGCCATTGATTTCTAGCCATAGACTTCTAGCCGTTGATTTCTAGCCATAGACTTCTAGCCGTTGATTTCTAGCCATAGACTTCTAGCCGTTGATTTCTAGCTATACACTTCTAGCCGTTGATTTCTAGCTATAGACTTCTAGCCGTTGATTTCTAGCTATAGACTTCTAGCCGTTGATTTCTAGCTATAGACTTCTAGCCGTTGATTTCTAGCTATAGACTTCTAGCCGTTGATTTCTAGCTATAGACTTCTAGCCGTTGATTTCTAGCTATAGACTTCTAGCCGTTGATTTCTAGCTATAGACTTCTGACCGTTGATTTCTAGCTATAGACTTCTGACCGTTGATTTCTAGCTATAGACTTCTGACCGTTGATTTCTAGCCATAGACTTCTGACCGTTGATTTCTAGCCATAGACTTCTGACCGTTGATTTCTAGCCATAGACTTCTAGCCGTTGATTTCTAGCCATAGACTTTTAGAAGTTGATTTCTAGCCATAGACTTCTGACCGTTGATTTCTAGCCGTAGACTTCTGACCGTTGATTTCTAGCCATAGACTTCTGACCGTTGATTTCTAGCCATAGACTTCTGACCGTTGATTTCTAGCCATAGACTTCTAGCCGTTGATTTCTAGCCATAAACTTCTGACCGTTGATTTATAGCCATAGACTTCTGACCGTTGATTTATAGCCATAAACTTCTGACCGTTGATTTATAGCCATAGACTTCTGACCGTAGATTTCTAGCCATAGACTTCTGACCGTTGATTTATAGCCATAGACTTCTGACCGTTGATTTCTAGCCATAGACTTCTGACCGTTGATTTATAGCCATAGACATCTAACCGTTGATTTCTAGCCATAGACTTCTAACCGTTGATTTGTAGCCATAGAATTCTGACCGTTGATTTGTAGTCATATATTCCTGGCTTTTGATTTCTAGCCATTTATTTTTAACCATAAACCTTTGAACAATAATTTCTAACTATAGACTTTTAACCCTTGATTTCTAGCCATAGACTTCTGACCGTTGATTTATAGCCATAGACCTTTGACCATTGATTTTTAGCCATAGACTTTTGACCATCAGTTTCTAACCATTTGACTTCTGAGCATTGATTTCTAGCCAGAAACTTCTGACTATTTTTTAAGCATAGACTTCTTACCATAGACGTGTGGCCATTGAAATCTCGTCATAGATTGTGTGGCTATTGATTTCTAGCCATTTATCTCTTTCCATTGATTTCTGGCTACAATTTTCTAGCCATTGATTTCTAGTCATGGTCTTCTGACCAATTATTTCTAGCCATAGACGTGTGGCCAATCTCAAATTGTCAAAACCTTCAAGCAGCTGTCTAGAAAAGGGGTGGCTAGGATGGTGTGGAAAGAAGAATAACATATCTTTGACAATATACACTGTGTTTTAAGCAATAAAAAGAATGCAAATTTTCTGGCCAAAATTCTTGTGTCTCATTAGAAATGATTGCTACAAATATAAAACGTAGAGAACTGACAGAAGCAGACATTTTCTGCTTTTAGAAGATTTCTTTCAAAATATCATGATTAGAAGAAGAAAACAAAACCACACAAGTAATGAGTGCAGCTCGAGTCACTGGATCTCTCATCGGTGATACAAGGAAACTCAATATGAATTATTTCCGTTGTTATACTTTAAAATGACAGTCTGTGTCAGCTATGTCAATGCCTGCAAGATGACAGGGGCTTTAGACTCTCGAGCCGCCCCCACCCCCACCCCACTTTGTTTTTTCTTTGCTTTCTCTACAAGCTGTTTTTTTTACTGGGAGCTAAGCGGCCAGCTTTAAGTACGTACATACACTCACTTTGAAAGTGTAAGTAAATTAAAGGACCTTTTTCTACGCCTTAAGGTTATTAGGTATATAGGGTTAGATCTTTATTTTCTAGACTAACCGACGCTTCGTGGGTGATGTGGTCAGCATCACGCCGGCCGCCTTTACTTTCAGCACTATAATTGGTACCTACAGAAGAGTGGATCGACCTGGGAACGAGGGTCACTTTTGAAAAAAGTCCAGCCACTGACAGGACCCAACCCACGAACTTCTGATCCACAGGCGAGCGTCTAGCTGCTGGACCACAGCGGCTTCCACTTTCAAAGTGTTTGTTTACATACATCATAATACTTCAAGCATATTGCTACATTAATTTATGATCAAACACATTTTTAAAAATGTATCATTATTTCTTTTGTCGTTATTACACAAGTGTGTGGTAAACGTCGATAAATTAAGACTGGTTCTTTTGTGTATTTGTATGGTATAGCAAAGGCTAATGTGAAAACGTGTGGTGTGGCAAAGGTGGCAAAGGCTAATATGAAAATATAATGCGGTACAAGTCCCGCTAGACTGAAGACATTTAGCGTAGAGCTAACTCTAACATTAAGACACAAGCGTGTAAGGGTGATTCTTTTGAAGTGTGAGTAAGTCTGCCTAAGAGGCGAGCAATCAACAGTTTGCATATAAATAAGCGACATTATAAAACAGATGTTCACGCAAAACTCACATTCAGTTACAAGTTGTAGAGTCCAGAAGTAGACAAACAACCGAAACTTTCCGCTGGATTTTACAGCTGATGAACGCGAAGAAGAAGAAAGTTTGGTATCTAAACTTAGCATGGAATTTTTAAACTACTGCTGGGTGTTTTATAAATTTGCTTCTCAATTTTGTTTCTCACATTTTAGGTATCACCAAGTGCTGGCTGTTCAAATATTGGACTCGTCTCATCATTGTTCGGTTCTAGAGCAAAGAATCAATCCTGTTTCAATCAGCACCGATCATGACGGCCATGTTGGAGTAAACAAGGCTGTATTGACGGACTAAACAAGAGGATGTTTGTTGACACAGGGATACAATGAGTGCCAATCAATTCCTGTAAATTTATTTCTAATTGTAGTTCCAGGAAAAATAATAATCACCGCTTGGTTGCGAGGGGAGACAATGCGCTGAGTTGAGAGGGGAGACCAAATTCACAGCGCAGAGAAGAGGTTCAAGGAGGCGACAACTGTGGAAATCCCAGGATAGGGTTTTCTGAATGACCTTAGGGGAAGTACTGTTTCTCTTTAGACTGAGGGAGTTCTTAAGTTGACCAAACATACGGATGACAATTTCAGTGTTCAGTTCAAGAATGCGTGGGCGGCTCAGTTCAAAAATGTGAAACTTACTGAGATTGTGGTAGGATGTTAGATAGTGTTTCAAAGCCTATGTTGATAATTTACGATTATACTGGGAACAGAATATTCAATACTTTCATGTAAGTGCCATATACATTAAATATTGCAATTCAGAAATAAAACAGTGTTTCATAGTTTATGGTTGAACACACTAATGATATCAAAAACTGACAAAGTTTCGAAAATACTGAGTTAGAAATTGTTGTAACTGTTCTCAAGCAGAGTTACTCAGTTTGGAATTTATCATACCACAATGTGATAACACCGGCACTGAACTAAATTAAAACAGATATTAAAAGCGATGTCTGCATATAACTAAATCGAAAGATATGTTTACGGTTTGTTGTCGACATTTGTGATAATTTACGTCTAAAAAAATATTTGGTGAATATAAAAACCACACTAAAATATACGTGTAACAAAATATAGGGCACACACGAAATGTTATAACATGTTCGTAGAACTAACAGCTAAATAAATAACAAAAACCTGTTGCGATTTACATCAATATAATACTTTCAGAGGCATACGGCATTCTATAGCAAACTCGGCAGCATCTGTGTCCAGCAAACATGAGCCAGAACACGAGTCAGGTTTGGCTGCATGAAACCGAGGTAACGTCGAGTACCGACTTGGCAAGTAATGCGAGTGTGCCTCAGACATCACACGCCATCGATGTCGTTTCATCAGTGTCATCAAACGTCCTGACTACCTTCGGATACACACTAGAGGCAGCAGAACCGTCTGCTAACACTTCAAGCTTGGAGCATTGGAATGTTAGCAGCAGAATGGCCAACTTTACTTCACCGGGGCCTGACCTAAGCTTGGAGTTCCAGATCCCCATGTACGCGATTATCTTCCTTCTGTCAGTTGTTGGCAACATCCTGGTGATTGTCACGGTCATCCAAAACAAGAAGATGAGGTCTGTGACCAACGTGTTCCTTCTCAACCTCTCCGTTTCCGACCTGCTCATGACCGTTTTCTGCATGCCATTCACGCTAGTGCCTCTCTTCTTGAGGAACTTTATCTTCGGAGAGGTCATGTGTGTGCTAATTCGCTACATGCAAGGTAGGTAGATTATGTCTCTACGTGTCTCTTGTTGATGTATCTTACTTACATTACCATGTTTATAATGTCTTCGCATTTGCGTGGACTGTATTATCTCCTTTTATTTGATTATCATTGTTGTTTTGGGGATTTCAGGTCAAAGCTGTGATGCATTGACGGTAAAATAAGGATAAAGTAAGGGTAAGGTAAGGTAAGGATAAAGTAAGGGTAAGGTAAGGGTGAAGAAAGGAAGGGTAACAGGTATAGCAGGTCTAAGATGAGAGTAAATAATGACAAGTGTAAGGCATGGATAAGGTTAGGGCTGGGTAACGGTAAGGTAAAGAAAGGTCAATTAAAGGATAAGGTAAGGATTAGATAAAGCTAAGGTAAGGGTAAGGTAAGAATAAGGTGAGGATAGTCTAAAGTTAAGGTAATGATAAGCTAGGGATAAAGTAGGGATAAGATAAGGATAATTCTACATCTCTGGTTCGTTTCTAAAGTAATAAGCTAAAAGTGGATGATTCTTCTTATATATGCAGCTAAATAATGGAGGAATTATGGGATGGAAGAGGGGCAAAATCACACGATTACTGTCTCCGGATACCAAAGTAAGAGAGGAGAACAGGTATAATTAACACATTTATGTATGCCAGGATCAGAGCTGACAACCTAAGGATGACATTATATCTCTATATTCAAATGTAAGAGACGAAAGGATAAAGAGGAAATACAAAAACATATCTATACAGTCCAGATCTGATAAGGATAACTCACTTCGGACCGAAGAAAGAGTTCTTCTTTTCAGAAGTTTCTTTGATCCAGATAATAATTCAAGCGCGCAGTGTTGCAGGGGATGAACAAATTGTTCTTCATAACAAAAATTTTCCTTATCGGAGTTTGTCTTAAGCGGTCTTTACTGTATATATTAGGATACTAAACAATTCGATGACCTACCTACAAGTGCCTAGATAACTGAAGAAAATTATAAACAAAACTTAGGAATACGGCTAAATCTCAAATTATAATCTACCATCAACTCACCCCCCCCCCCCCCACAACCCCTCCCCCCTACCCCTTCACCCATAAAAATCATAGTGACGAATTCATATAACCGAGAAGCGATATGTAACTATTAGCTAACAGTATAACTAACCAATTAGGGTAAACTTTCAGTAATTCAAACATGGCTGGTAAGAAACAATTCTGGGGTATAACTATGGCTGATGTGAAAACGTGTGGTATAGCAAAGGATAATGTCAAAACGTGTGGTATAAAAAAACGTGTGCTGTGGAAACGTGTGAAAACGTGTGGTGTGGCAAAGGGTAATATGAAAACGTGTGGTGTGGCAAAGAGTGAAGTGAAAACGTGTGGTATAGCAAAGGATAATGTGAAAACGTGTGGTATAGCAAAGGATAATGTGAAAACGTGTGGTGTGGCAATGGATAATGTGAAAACGTGTGGTATAGCAAAGGATAATGTAAAAACGTTTAGTATGGCAAAGGCTAATGTGAAAATGTGTGGTCTGGCAAAAGATAATATGAAAACAAACTGCGGTACAAGTCCCGTTAGATTAAAGACATTTAGCGTACAGCTAACGCTAGCATTAAGACATTCTATGGAGCCAACTTGACAATAGCCAGACCTAGCGCCAGAGACCATCGCAAGTCAGAACTCCCTGAAAAAGTCATTAAGTATCGACCCCACAGCATTTATGTGGATCATTAGTGGGGCACGGGGAACCCGAAACCCTCCTGGTTGATGACCTTGTTTAAGTCGAGAAGCTGGTACATTGTCCGCTTCATTGCAGTCTAAAGACTTGTCTAGGAGACGGTTGATGCATTCTAGCAAAGTAGCGGATGTAGAGCACACAATGATCCCAGAAATAGCCGAGACAAACTGGTTCTGTGTGTCTACTGACAGTGAGTTGTGATAATGGGTCAGAATCTTTGTCTTACCCGTCTCCAACTTTCTTTGTAATTCTGATATATTCTGTTCGATTTCCAGCTGCCCACCATTAGGCAGCTCAAGCATTTGAGTTGATTTTGACAATGGTAATAAGCAGTCAATTAATAATTCAGGTGGAAAAGGACTACATAATGGAATTAAATGTTAAATTAGTGACCAAAGTAAAAAAAAAAAAAAAAGGTTAAATTCTATCTAATAATGAATGAAAGGAGACGTTAATGTATTAACGTGCAAAAAATATGTGTAAACTATAACATAAGAACGGGCGCCTGCGGATAGGAGAGTCGTGGGTTAGCTCTCCGGCGGAGCCGGACTTTTTTCAAAAATGACCTTGGCTCCTAGGTCGACCAGCTTTGAGTGGGTACCGGGTGCAGTCCTGGGAAGTAAATGCGACCGGCGTGATGCTGACCACATCACCAATCTAATGCCGTAGCTCTATAAAGTATAGGTGTAGCCCTGTATTCCCAACACGACTGAAAGGTGTTTAAAAGGTTCCTTCACTTTTACTATAACACAAGAAGGTAATTTATTAACGCACAAAACATAAATCTAGAGTAAAAGAAGTATTTAGATCACGACAAATAAAGGTTCTTAATTTATAACGTACCCCAAACACGAAATCCCCGTGGGAAATCCACAGCTGACCTGACAGTCCATTATTTCAAGGGGTGGAAGTGTGCTGTTGTTTGGTGCTTTTTTTTAGTGTTCATCTAGTGTCTGCTAATCCTAACCCTAACCCTGACCCTAACCCTAACCCTTACCCTAAACTTGGCTGTAGATTATTCGCCAGGAACTACAACCTGAACACCCTAGAATTTATTGGGAATGTCTCCCGTTACGTTGTCGTGACGTCAGGGGTAAGTTATAAAGTAAGTACCCAAATAAATGTTCACTATAACAGAAAATTATTAATACAAGAAAAACATAACGTTCTATTATATTTACGTTCGACGCCAATGTTTTACCTTACAATAAAGACAGTTTTTATATAATAGAATAAGTCAGATGAAAAAAAAAAATGATGTTTAAAAAGTTACAGTCTTGAATTTAAACTTCAGTCCAGGAAGGAAAAGCAGCTGAAAATTATAACAAAAATCTGAGTGTTGACAAAGTAATACATTATCTGTCTGGATTTGGAGGGATCAAAACGACGCACCAAAAAAACCGAGGCAATGGAATAGTGGCAACAAGAGCTCATTGTTCGTGACTTTATTATTATTGCTCTCCTATAACGAGGAAGACAGACGGCATCCTCTGCGGGGTTACAATGGCAATGAATGTTGCAGCCCCGAGTTAACTTTCATTTCCAATTTCCGTTATCTGGAGATTCTCTCCCTGGAGACGGCTGGGCAGGAAAACACTTGTGACCTATTTATACGATCTCTTATCTGGATCTCTTTGCTTTCTTTACGAATGGAAGAAAAACTGCAAGATAAAACATTATCTAGGTTACGTCTGTTCTTTGTAGTCTTCAGGTTGTATCAGTTCAGTTTTCTCATCTATGAGGGTCAAGACTGACATCAGTGGCTCGAACAGCTACTTTTCGGATGCGAATTCAACAGGAGGAAATAATAGATACCCTGTTCTACCGGGTCAGACTTTTACTGGACAGTTAAAGGATACCCGAATGGCCCGTTCCGGTATGGTGCTGACCCCATCAACCACTAAAAGGTCTGAAAAATATAGGTCTAGCCCTATGTGCCCAATACGCCTAAGAGTTTGGAAAAAGGTCCTTTATTTTAATTTTATTTTCTATATAACAAGTCAGTTTGTGTGGAGCGGTTCTCCTATCTGTGTGGAGAGCTCAACTACACGTGTGGAGGGGTTCTACCACCTGTGTGGATAGGTTCTACTACCTGTGTGGAGGGGTTCTACCACCTGTGTGGATAGGTTCTACTACCTGTGTGGAGGGGTTCTACTACCTGTGTGGATAGGTTCTACTACCTGTGTAGAAGAGACTACTACCTGTGTGGAGGGGTTCTACTACCTGTGTGGAGGGGTTCTACTACCTGTGTGGAGGGGTTCTACCACCTGTGTGGATAGGTTCTACTACCTGTGTAGAGGGGTTCTACAACCTGTGTAGAGGGGTTCTACTACCTGTGTGGAGGGGTTCTACCACCTGTGTGGAGGGGTTCTACTACCTGTTTGGAGGGGTTCTATTACCTGTGTGGAGGGGTTCTCCTATCTGTGTGGAGAGCTCAACTACCCATGTAGAGGGGTTGTACTACCTGTGTGGATAGGTTCTACCACCTGTGTAGAAGGGACTAATACCTGTGTGGATAGGTTCTACTACATGTGTGGAGGGGTTCTACTACCTGTGTGGAGGGGTTCTACTACCTGTGTGGAGGGATTCTACTACCTGTGTGGATAGGTTCTACTACCTGTGTGGATAGGTTCTACTACCTGTGTGGAGGGGTTCTACTACCTGTGTGAATAGGTTCTACTACCTGTGTGGAGGGTTTCTACTACCTGTGTGGAGGGGTTCTACTACCTGTGTGGAGGGGTTCTACTACCTGTGTGGATAGGTTCTACTACCTGTGTGGAGGGGTTCTACCATCTGTGTGGAGGGGTTCTACTACCTGTGTGGATAGGTTCTTCTATCTGTGTGAATAGGTTCTACTACCTGTGTGGAGGGGTTCAACTACCTGTGTGGATAGGTTCTACTACCTGTGTGGATAGGTTCTACTACCTGTGTGGAGGGGTTCTACTACCTTTGTGGAGGGGTTCTACTACCTGTGTGGAGGGGTACTACCTGTTTGAAGGGGTTCTACTATCTGTCTGGACAGGTTCTACTACCTGTGTGAAGAGGTTCTACTACCTGTGTGAAGGGGTTCTACTATCTGTCTGGACAGGTTCTACTACCTGTGTGGAGGGGTTCTACTACCTGTGTGGAGGGATTCTACTACCTGTGTGAAGGGGTTCTACTACCTGTGTGGATAGGTTCTACTACCTGTGTGGAGGGGTTCTACTACCTGTGTAAAAGGGTTCTACTACCTGTGTGGAAGGGTTCTACTACCTGTGTGGAAGGGTTCTACTACCTGTGTGGAAGGGTTCTA